GGCTGATAGCAGTTGGTACATGTTTCCACTTGCACAGTGGTATACCCAGTGTTGTAATCAATGATGGTGAAATAATCCACTCACTGCTACAGGAACTTGACATGACCTTGCCCAGGATCACAAGAATGCACTGTTGCAGAACGGAGTACACTGTACCACATGAAGGGACTGCACCATCCTGTGATAGGTAGCATGATGACATCACTCTCTCAGCAAGGTCTTCTACCACCTGTACATTGGGTATATCCTTGTTTAGCAGAGTGGAACAATGCAGTTGAATGAGTTTCAGGGCACATTCAGTGACACCTGTTGCAAGACCCATTCCCAGTGTTGTTGTAACACGCTGGTACACCACCTGCAGACGGGATAGTGTTTCCTGGCTGGGCTCAACTTGTCCTTCCCTGCAGTCGATGTCCAGAGACATGGATAGCCTGCATGACTCCAGAGAAAGTTGCGTCAAAGGTAGCTGCAACGGTGACTCCACTCCTGTCGGTTCTTGTTCAGATTTCTCCAGGAGCATTTGGGTTCTGGAATCCGAACTCTCAAAAGTGACATCAGAATCTGCAATGCTTTGACGGCAAATACAACACAGGATCGAGGTGCAAATGCTGTCAGCTTGTACAGATAGCGGTGCTTTGTCCAATCTTTGTATCCTGCCCCCAAACTCTCCAACAAACATTGTTTTCCCAAACATTGCAAGTAGGATACCCGATGACTTTGTTAATCCAGAGAAAGGAAGCAAGTCATCGCCAGACAAAACATCAACGGCAGACAACGCCATCTCTATGTGCACGCTTTCCTGAAGCAATTGGTAACTCCAAAACACTGCTTTGTCTGCACCACAACCTCTACAGTCATCAACTTCCTTCACAAAGCCAAGGAAATGCTTGCACATTCGCTGTTGGTACATGTGTTGCTTGTCTTCTGGGCATTGGTAACGACCAAACTCGGCGATAAATGGTTGTAACGAGTAGCGATCCAAACACGAATTGTAATCCAGGAAACAAATCTTGATCAACGGATCAAAACGTAGAAGATGAACCACATCAACATCATCACCTACACAATCCACCATCACACAAGCGCACTTAGATGAGAACGAGGAGCGCAGTTGAGATAGAGCATGGAATGATGCCTTGTCATTCTGACGTAATGTGTTGTATGCTATTTTCAACAGCTGCAGAATTCGATCATTCGGTTTCAGACCATCATCGTTGAACACATCAAGACCAACCTTCTTGAACAACGATAGCAGCCTGGTGGGAGTTAATCGACCCCCTTGTAGAAGACCAGCTGTAATGCGTACAGCAAGTGGAACATTTCCACAATGATCCACTAACCTCTGTGCATCTTCAATGCTCACACTACCTTCAACACATAGACCATGGAGAAGACCAACAGCACAAACCTTTGTCAGACCATCAAGACGGTGTTGTTGTAGTTTAAACTGGGCAGCGTGTAGGTCAAAGTAAACACGACTTGTCAGTAGGATATGAACGTTGTGTTGTAGTCGAAGTAGTCGTTCCACAACATCTTGTAGTTGGAAATCTTTATCAGCACCAGCATGGATAGCATCCTCGGCATTATCCAGAATACATAGCATGCGGTGCTTGCCACCATCCTCATCCATGCCATCAGTTGTTTGTTTTGTCTTGCCAGCAGTTTCAGGTGAAGCCGGGTTTGTTTCGAGTCGGTTTTGAATCATTGCCTGGACAGCGTCAACACCAGCTACACCGCGTAAGTCAAAGAACTCCACACGACAACCAGCATTGCGACATACATGTCCCACAGCAATGGCTACGGACGTCTTACCAAAACCAGCTGGTGCCAGAAGACTCTGCACACGTGTAGATGATGATGTGGACTTTGTTGTGAGAATTTTGTCACTAATCTCTGTAACAATCTCATTCCTGCCAGTGAAGTGTCGGTCTTTGTCCGGTAGAGATGACTGGCTTGACGTTGCTGATCTTGTTGAATCCTGCGTTGTAGTCAATGCTGTGTTGGTTGTTGTACCCATACTAGTCGCATCAGTTCTAGTTACAGCTGATGTTGGTTGTTTGAAAACTGGCTCACGTCTGCTGGAGGTCCGTTGCTGATCGGCCTGGCCATCTTCCACCGGGTGCTGTGATGGCTGCGTTTTCTGTTGGCCAACTGTTGTCATGGTGGTACCTAGCAAGATACAGAAAGCAAGAGTAAAAACCTATTGTAAGTTTTGAAAATCTTTCAAAGGGGATGTATGGCCTACTTTCTCCGTTAATCTGTTAAGCAAAACTTCAATGCATTTTTATAGACCCGTCAAAACCATCTATCAGAGCAATGGATGTCATCGTGGCCACCCTATCTCAGTGGGGGGGGGGGGGGGGGGGGGTCACCGATATGTTTGTCTAATGCGCATAGAAAGACCCTGATAAGAACAATAAAATGCAATGAAGAAGTTTTGCTTAACGGAGAAAGTCGAATCAAAATTTCACAGTACTGGACCTACTGGTAGTCTTCTGTGTGCTGATTCGAATGCTGTTGGTCCGAGGAAGCTGAGCTACTGCCGTTGGCCTATGTTCCCAGTCGATCTCATGCACTGGAAGCTGAGCTACTGCCGTTGGCCTATGTTCCCAGTCGAACTCATGCACTGGAAGCTGAGCCACTGCCGTGGCCTATGTTCCCAGTCGAACTCATGCACTGGAAGCTGAGCCACTGCCGTTGGCCTATGTTCCCAGTCGAACTCATGCATTGGAAGCTGAGCCACTGCCGTTGGCCTATGTTCCCAGTCGAACTCATGCACTGGAAGCTGAGCCACTGCCGTTGGCCTATGTTCCCAGTCGAACTCATGCACTGGAAGCTGAGCCACTGCCGTTGGCCTATGTTCCCAGTCGAACTCATGCACTTTCAAATTTTTGGATGAGTGCACCCCACTACTAGAACAGTTGCGCTCGGTGAAATCCGACACAAAGTGAATATTTTGGCGCCACTGGATGAGTTGCTTTGACTGACAGCCCAACTAAATTCCCCTGAAAGAAACATACATCCGTTATGGTGAAGGAGAGTCGATCGTAGAGCAAAAACAATTGGCAATGACAAATGGAAAAATTTTCAGCTACAAGTATTACAAACAAGAATCCCGGGCTTATTTCCTACTAGTGGTCGTACTAGAACTCTACAATTAGTAACAAAGTCATGTGATAGCGGGTTTTCCAAAGTGGTGTGTTGATGACTATCGTGGCCTGGCAAGGTCTTTTGGAGGTCATAGAATGATGGCTGGTAGCCTCGAGCTCAGTTTTCCAGGCAAAATGTTCAAATTTATGACTGCCGACAAAGTACTGTATGGCACGACATTTTCGGACAAAGCCAAATTTCGACCTTTTTTCGTACGGATTCTATTTTCGTACTGTCGTGCATTCTAAATGCAGTGCTGCCAAATAATTTTCGCCCAAAATCGGACAACCTTCACCGCCAATGCTGGCCACATGGTGCGAATTTTTCTCATCGGCAATTTTTTACAGAGAATTCAAAATATCGCCTAAAACACCATGAAAATTCGCTTCGTTGCCACGGTAACCCCAGAGTTGTCATGAATTTTGTAATGATGAGTGTGGTCGCACACTGACTCTGCACAGACTGTCAGTGTACATCCCATCCAGCCTGATCCAGGCATGTTACTTTGCACTTCCACAGCCAAGCGCTAGCCTTTTTAGAACAAATGTACAGTGATTTGTGCCTTCAGTTGCGCTGAAAAGTGAAAGTACAGGACTTCTGCATAGGAAAGTAATGATCTCCGACATTTTGGCTGCTTTTCGGACGTTTCCCTTTTCGGACCGGTTTTCGGAAGAGCCTTCCAAAATCGGACAATGTCCGAAAAATCGGACGGTTTGGCAGCACTGTAAATGCACGTGTTTGCATGCGGTGCGCATGTAAAGTGTACATATGTACATAACTTAACAGGAACAAATTTTAGTACGGAATTAATTTTAGTACAAAAGAGGCCGTGTCCGAAATCGTACGAAAATAAATTCTGTCCGAAAATTTCCTGCTATACAGTACCTTGCAATCTTCGCTCTCCAACAACTACTGTGCTAAGTCTGAGTTGAGGATTTCATCTGGAAAATGATATTCTCTGGAATGCTGCACTATATCTGCGGCATAGCAATGAGAAAAGCTGACTCCGACAAAAGCAATGTTTGCGATTTCGAAGTAATATAATTTTGGAAAATGAAAGCCTGAGCAGTCACAGAAAGCAAATCAAGTATGGAAGGGGACGGTGTGGTTTCCGTCCAGCACTGCACTATTTGGTGCATACATGCGCGTGCGAACTGAAGTGCTTAATTGCATGAAGTGCATGACAATACAGGGTGTGCACATGCATGCCGTGTGCATGCATGTGCTGCACGGCATGCATGCCGGGTTTGCCTGCTTGCACAACTCACATGCTTTCACCGTCACAGCTTCTACAGTGTGCGCTCGATTCACTCGATTTTTACGTCCACCACCGGGAAGTTGCTGTGAGCTGGCTTCTGTGATAATGTTCCTTCTACTGCGATAAAGTGCGAGGCTAAATGTTCTAGAATCCTCTTCTTTTAGACCAATTCGAGGCTGCTGAACACGAAAATTGGGTGTACCTGCCGGGGCCGTGTTTGCCTCTGGTCGAGATCAGTACTTCTCTATGCCTATGTGCAAAGTGCGGCTCCACCTTTTTTGTTCAGGCATGGCATGTATGGCATCAATGGAAAGGCAATGACCACAGCTACCTAAAACAGCATCGACAAGGGAGTACTGGCCACGGGATAAGATAGAAGCGGGGTCAAAGTCAGGCCAAAGAGATCTCACGCGGGGCCCAATTTACGGACTGTACAACTACAAACTTTTCAAAATTTCAATCGATCGGAACTCAGTCATTCCTGGGTTATTTCCAAAATCTAACATATGTACGTCGAAGAGAAAGCTCTCAGCTGTCCATTACACACCACCAAAGTTGAACACATTGCAGTAAACGTATAGCAACAACATACCTGTGTGGGACAAAATGGAGAGCATTTCCTTGCTCTTGTCCGCATAACCAAGTTCCTCAATGACAACACAGAGATCACGATAAGTCTTTAGGCCACCAGCTCTGAGCAACTGGATGAGCGCCTCATTATGATCAGATAGTCCATCCCGGGACAGAATTCTCTTCAGTCCCTCTATTGATGCGCTGTCAGTTATGAGATGTTTCTTGATCACCATCCGTCGCAGTCGATCTGCGTCAACTGTGTTCAACCATGGTTGAATGTCACACACAAACCTTTCCAGGTCAAACGGATTGTCTGTTGCAAAAGCAGCAAAATACAGAAGGCGCAGATTTCACATGAACACACAACTGCACACAACTGCATGTCAAGAGACAAGAAAAATGGAATTGCACAACACCGATAATACATGGAAAGGAATTTGAGTGGACACACCCTTTCCAATAGCGCTTCACATCAGAACAAGTTCCGCTATTTTACAACGTTTCGCCACTTGGCCATCGTCAGGTGCTAAGAACAATGGACACACACACACACACACACACACTCACACGCACACACACACTCACGCACTCACGTGCGCGCACACACACACATGCACACACACACACACACACACACACCCATCCCAGAACCGCACATCGGAGCGCTTCAGCGATTGTTTCAATGGACAGCTGGGAGTTTTCTTTTTGACCTACATATCTTAGTGTTTGAAAATAACCCAGAAATGACTGAGTTACGATCAATTGAAATCTTGAAAAGTTTCGATCCCAGGGGATCGAAAGTTGTAGAGTCCGTACACAAAGGGTTAAAATGTACACGCGAGTTGTGACTGCAGTTTCACCTGACCCAGGCTGGAACTGAACTCCCTAGCAATAATCTAGTGACCCATGACAGTGCTTCACGCCGGTGGCACCTGCATTTCTTGTAGATGTACAGAATCGTCATGTAGATCTGGTTATATCCTCAGGACTGTCCATCTAACTGAACCCACCGCATTCCCAGGGTCAGCTCTCAATACGATTGATGCGAATGCATAAACAAATTGATCTCTGTAAGCACTTCTCACTGCAAACAAGTAAGTACTGGCAGTGCTGCTCAATGAAATCCAGTCGTCGTGTCACTCAAGTTTGTGCCTTGCACCATTTTGCAGCCCAATGTTCGCAGGTCTAGGGCTGCGCAACACCCAGCGCGTACTTGAGTGATGCTGTGACTGGATTTCATTCCAGCGTGTACTTGAGTGACGCTGTGACTGGATTTCATTCCAGCATGTACTTGAGTGATGCTGGGACTGGATTTCATTCCAGCGTGTACTTGAGTGATGCTGTGACTGGATTTCATTCCAGCGTGTACTTGAGTGACGCTGTGACTGGATTTCATTCCAGCGTGTACTTGAGTGATGCTGTGACTGGATTTCATTCCAGCGCGTACTTGAGTGATGCTGGGACTGGATTTCATTGAACAGAACTGTTCATGCAAATGTACTGTCGTGGACATGGAAATCCCGTCGATTGACCGGGGCCGGCGCCCTCAGCGCGTACAGAACGCTGCGTGCAGGGCACATGATTGTTGATCCTTTACGACTAGCGCGCTGCAGCGCTTAAAATGCATGTGTGTACCGCTTATCCACGGCTGCATGGCCAGCACCCTGGGGCCGCTAGACGTGCGACTGGATTTCCATGTCCACAACAGTAGTTACATGCATGTTCAACGAGTTTCCCCCCCCCCCCCCCCCCCACCCCCTTCCACACACACACACACCTTCCTACGCCACTGTACTGTAGTCAATGTGAACACTTACCGGAGGACGGGTCACGTGTTGACTCACGATCTGCCGACATTGGCTTCGTTGGACGGTCAGTTTTCCCACTGGCAGTTGCTTTGCGTCGGTTCGCCATGGTACTGGCAATATGCTCCGCTACATGAGGCTGGCTGTGTTGAATCAAATTCAGGAACGTATCCACCTGTTCCTCCGTTTTCGTTAGCATCAGCCTCACCACATACTTGGAATGATCCCACTTCTCGTTTTCCTTGCCTGAGGCAGTAACGTATTCCTCCTCACTGAGGACATCGTTCTCCAGCAGGTCTTCCAAGATCAGTGACACATCTAGATTGGATACCAAGTACTTGATGTTGTACCGCACACTGTCCGGCATTGCGCCGTCAGCAAAACCGTCACAACCAACCACTCAGCCACGGCCTCACTCTGTCCACGCCGGCATGAATCGTTCTGTCCACACCACAGTGAACAATGGAGAACACCGCACACAACTACACGACCCACACAAATCACCAGCACTGCAACAACCGTCACGGTGACTTCATGTGCACCAACTAACGACATGGCGTCCTTTCATGCGGTTTACCGCACGGATTTATGAAGTCGGACATATTCCGATTTATTTGCATCAATCGGACAAGATTAGGTACATTTCTCTTGTAAACCCTGTCAGTTTGAGAATTTAGACAAACACCGAACAAATTTTAGCCGCGACGAGGATCGGGAGAAATCCATCATAAATTATTATTTTACATAGCTACTACCATCACGTCGACCGAGTGAAGATCGAAATGATAATGGAGTGGAGAGAAGAAGACCTGAACTAGAGTGCTTGAGAGACTATGTAGTGTCACATGAGAAGGCTCTCCTTTTGAATGGAGAAGCCCAACGTCGCTGATCTGCATCGCCGTTTTCAAGCGCTGATCTGCAGTAGGAATGTTTTTGTAAATTATTCGTAGTTGTGGACGTGGATGGATTCAGCGCTCTGTTCTCTCAGCAAGCCTACTCAGTCCAACACGAAGGACTTCCATGAGCGAAACAACGTGCTCCTCGAGCAAGTGCAGCTCGGGGTAATATGGCCAATGCCACGGGAGACCACCTCGTGCCTGCATAAGGCCAAGAATTGATGGCAAGAAATCTTTGATGAGCGCCTTCGACTTCAAGGACGCAATATTATATCTCCTCAGCAGTAACTGCAGCGCTCTTGCTGAAAATATCACTGCCAGCAGGCACTAGGCATAATTTAGTGAAGAGCTACTTGTACTAGCGATTGGAGATTTGGTGTTGGCATATCTGCTCCATCATGGTAACTGGTGCGTTTATCAAGGCAGTGCAGTTTCTGCTGCTGTTTCACAAGCCATATGCGCATATGCGCAGTGAGTAGGAATTTGTTGTATGATAGCTGAGGATCACCAGCCTTCATGGACAAACCTATGTTGGGACTGGTTGCTGAACAGTGCACGCCTAAATCTCTCAGCAAGCTCTCTTGCTCAGCTGGTGACGAACACTATATACCCGCTGCTTTGGGCTTGCAGCCCCGTCTCCCGACCGTAGACCGATCGAAAGGCTGTCACAGTCCTGTGACCATCGGCGTACAGTTGACACTGATGGGGCATCGGATAAAGTGCTGGCGTCAGTAATTCTCTTGTTTACCTGGAATCTACATCTACAGCTGGTTTCGACTTCCAGCCATCCTCCGTTAGTTATGCTTGTGACTATCATGCCAGCAAGTCGATCAGCAGCATCACCTCGCATCTTTGATGGTGAGGCCTGCAAAACGTCACCGACCAGTGACGATGCTCAAATAGGGCACCCTACCAGAGCTGGCGCAGTGTATGGTGCAGTCTTTCATGAATCCATAAACTATGCTGTTCGGCTGCTGTAGCTCTGACGCTTGCGTGTGTGCCTTACATTAAGGGCAGCGGGCCATCTGCTTTAGCCATTTGCCAATGCATGCACGGCTGAACGTCTACCAGCAAGCTGCAAACACTTCTCTCTCTACCTGTGACATAGTGGACATTGTGCATGTGTTATGCATTCCTATATGAACTGTTCTGGATGCAGAGATTTACCCACTAAGCCCTAGAGAAATATGAATAAATACTATACTACTATTACTAAACTTGGTATGCGGGTGTGACGTGCTGCTGCTCATCAGATTCGGTCCATGCGACGCTCGTGTTTTTAGTTTTGTTATTTTGTCTTCCTTTTTTGAATTCGTAAACCAAACAGACTAAACTATCCAGTGATCAGGTACTGGTGTGGTGGGGCAAGGTTTTGTTGGTGATGCTGCTGTCAGTGGTGGCGGCGTGCATGTGCTCGTGCTTGCGGGCGATGGCCCGCGTTTTCTCCCATGCCGCAAGTTTGTCCTGCGTTTGTGTTTTGCATTTGGACTTCCTGCCAGGCTTGGAAGACTTGCATTTCAAACAGTTTGTCCCACTGTGTGGCTCCCAGTCTTTGAACGGTGTACATCCACCTCTGGAGCTCCAGAGAATGTTGGGCCCCTGGCAGTAGCAGTGCATTCCATGGCCAATTTGCAAGTGTGGCAAAAAAGTTCAGGGTGTATTTGGTTTCATCCACATTGAGATGAAACACTGCCAAAATGGATTGAGTATGATCTGCCACACGATACTTCGTCCGTCCACTCCTTGAGGCGAATTTCTCCCCTCCAATACGACAACACGACGACAGGAAGCTAACATGAGCCTCCATTTCTGAACAAAATAACGTCTCTAACATGGCCACGAAAAGCTACAGTTATGCACGTCAAGCTTAGGAATACACGAAATCGAAAGGCTAGGACATCGAGGTATACTAGAAAATTGTCTGCGAGGCGGAGAAAATTCGCTGACGAGGTTGGTGAGCCCTTGAAATCGAGCGACGATCCAAAAATAATTGCACCCACGTCGAGAAAGAAACCATGCGTAGCGCGTGGGTAACCCAAAAAGATCGCTCGAGCGGCGGCACAGTCGAAGGCAAGGCCAGTCCAAGCTCTAAACTCTATCGAATGACCTGGCAAACACCCGTGGTTTCGGTTGACCTTGCCCGTTTGAGATGGAAGTCGAGCGAAATTGCAAACATACAACTAGGCCAGGTCGCGTAAAAAATGAAAAATATTAAAATTTGGCCGCCATATTTAATGAACGCCCGTCGCATGCATGGGACAGCCGTGCCGTCCGACAGAGAAAATGCGCCAAGAAAAAATGATGATGATCGGGTACCGAGAACCGGTAGATGTATTGTAGAGTCTACATAGCGGGGAGTGGTGAAAACCAGGACCCCCTGGTATAACCATGTCATGATCTGATGATAACTCAACCCTTTCAAGACTCGGAGTCGTTGCTACTAGTACTCAGTACTAGTAGTACTGGTAATCAGTGGTATGACTGAAGTCTGTACATGTCTGTACCGTATCAGTGTCACGCGCGCATGCGCTTCGTCCCTTGGACAGAGTAGATCTACGTCATGGAAGACGAGACATTTACAAATGATTTAAAAAAATCATTAATTTGGTGGTGGGTCGGCATGGCAATGGTACTTGGCACAAGTACGTGCAGTTGTCAGGGAGTCGTCAAATACTTATTTGACGACTCCCTGGTACTGGTAGATCTACTGACTGTTAGTTGTGATCGCTTTTCTCGCTTTTGCTTCAGTGTCGCCCATTTTCACCGAGCAACCGGTGAAGGAGGCTGTTGCGGCCGTTGGTGGTGGCGAATTTCGGATGATCGTGGATGCAAGTACAGGTCATGACCCGACGAAGTCCGAAGTACATTGGCTGGCTGGGGGTGAGCCAAACCAAGCACCGATTGGCAACTTGGAAAACCCATTCAAACGAATCCAGACGTGTGTGGATGTTCAACATCAACTCCGAGGCTTTCTGCTATGGCCGCCTTGGTCAACTGGAGGTAGGTTTGCAATTGGCTGACCTACCGATGATGATGGCACCGGTGATGGCGGACATGGATGGCAGACTGATGGCTGGCAACAAAGTCATCACATCTGTGCCGTGCGCACTGGAACATACCGGGATAGTGTGAGTGTGACTCTGTGAGTGACTGGCCAGAACAGTGTTCGTTACGAGTAGAGGCTTACAACAATGAACTGGTAACGACGGTGTTAGTGAAGGGAACGGCCGATATCTCCAACCTAACCCGGCAGCCGTACAAAGACAGCATCATCATGGCCAGCTTGCCTGACGAGTTCATCATCGCTCCGTATCCTGAATCGTTCCAGCTATGAGTGATGATAATGATGATGGAAGCACGGACAGGTGGCCAATGCCAAGCTAGAAGACATGATTGTTTTCACCACTGAACGGCCTGGTCCAGAACGGAGAAGGGGCAGCGTGTACGGTTGATTCATGCATTGAGTGGTGTGACTGTCTAAATAAGCACGGAACTTTTACATCTACACATCTACATGTAGTTGAGTCAGGTTACCTTCACAAACACGGAAGGAGAATGTGGGAAAGGGTTGAATTTCCGGAGAAAGTTTGGAGGGTGGCCGTGGAATGTGACTGATGCAGTGATGGTGATTGTGGACTACAAAATGGCCTGTGTTGGTTGCAAAATCCGTTTCGTGCCTAACAGTCCACGCATAATGTCCGCTACATTGTGAGAAAAATGCTATCCCTGCAAGGAATTGGTGGGGGTTGCATTTCACATTCGAATTTTTCAGTATTTCGGGGTTGCCGCTCACGGAAATAAAATCTGAAGTAGGAAAGCCGCTCTCTCTCTCTCTCTCTCTCTCTCTCTCTCCCTTTTTGCTTTGCGTTTGTCTAGGGCACTTCACATTCCCTTGTGGTATAAACACAACCACAAGTTTCACCATGAGTGGACCGCGCCGATCTGCATCTCTAGTCTGTACTGTCACCCGGGCGAGCATTTCCTCTCCAACATATTGCCGGTATTGGCTGGTCCCGTCCTGCTCGGCTCTCACTGTATGCTGCTGCTCTTGTGGGCCTGCATCTCGCTGGCCTCCGTGTCCGTCGAACACTGCGGCTTCCACCTGCCGTTCATGCCGTCCAACGAGTACCACGACTACCATCATGCAAAGTTAGTAGTGTAGTGTGTGCATTCTGCATTGATTGGTAGCTGTACTAATACCTTGCACATACATGGGAGGCGGTGAACGCAAAAATCTGACTTGAGCTGTACTGTGCATGGGCATGGCATGGGCATGGCATGGCCACTGCTACCAGTAGCTGTACTGTGCATGGGCAGCATACACTGCCACTGGTACCAGTAGCTGTACTGTGCATGGGTAGCATGCACTGCCACTGCTACCAGTAGCTGTACTGTGCATGGGTAGCATGCACTGCCACTGCTACCGGTAGCTGTACTGTGCATGGGTAGCATGCACTGCCACTGCTACCAGTAGCTGTACTGCGCATGGGCAGCATGCACTGCCACTGCTACCGGTAGCTGTACTGCGCATGGGCAGCATGCACTGCCACTGCTACCAGTAGCTGTACTGTGCATGGGTAGCATGCACTGCCACTGCTACCGGCAGCTGTACTGTGCATGGGTAGCATGCACTGCCACTGCTACCGGTAGCTGTACTGTGCATGGGTAGCATGCACTGCCACTGCTACCAGTAGCTGTACTGTGCATGGGTAGCATGCACTGCCACTGCTACCAGTAGTTGTACTGTGCATGGGTAGCATGCACTGCCACTGCTACCAGTAGCTGTACTGTGCATGGGCAGCATGCACTGCCACTGCTACCGGTAGCTGTACTGTGCATGGGCAGCATGCACTGCCACTGCTACCAGTAGCTGTACTGTGCATGGGTAGCATGCACTGCCACTGCTACCGGTAGCTGTACGGTGCATGGGTAGCATGCACTGCAACTGCTACCAGTAGCTGTACTGTGCATGGGTAGCATGCACTGCCACTGCTACCGGTAGCTGTACTGTGCATGGGTAGCATGCACTGCCACTGCTACCAGTAGCTGTACTGTGCATGGGTAGCATGCACTGCCACTGCTACCAGTAGCTGTACTGTGCATGGGTAGCATGCACTGCCACTGCTACCGGTAGCTGTACTGTGCATGGGTAGCATGCACTACCACTGCTACCAGTAGCTGTACTGTGCATGGGTAGCATGCACTGCCACTGCTACCAGTAGCTGTACTGTGCATGGGCAGCATGCACTGCCACTGCTACCGGTAGCTGTACTGTGCCAGGCCTGCTCGTCGAGGATTCGATAGTTTTAGGGGGCGTTCGAATTGTCTCCATCAACTGTTCGAACAAATTTTTTAAAGAGATTAGTTGAGTGTCCCATTACGGCATTAGAACGGTTTCTATCATTTTAGAGTTTTTCAGTGGAATGGTCATGGCGATGATGACGTCCGATCAGATCGACCATCTCCACGTCCTACGTGACGTAGCTATTCCAAACTCTTCGGAACCAATCCACCTCTCCCATCAGATGAGGTTGTGGAGTTTCGAGGAGCTTCGTTTTTCTGAAGAGGCCAATAAGGCCACCTCTTCAGAAAACGAAACTCCTCGAAAAGTCCAAGAGTGACAATTCGAACGCGCCCTTAAAATGCTCCGTTCGCCTCTGTTGTGTGTGTGTGACTGATTGTACATGTACATGATTGTATGTCCCACCCACTCCGACATCTCCCTTGGAGTTAGTTAGTTGTGGAGCTGAAAGGCCATCATTGGTCTCTTGCACAACTTTGACGGCTTGCAGGTTTCGTTCGGGGACAGCATTGAGCCGATGAGGTTACAACCATGAAAGCAATCATTCTAAAAGCCTGAGGCTGAGGCCTGAGGGGCCGAGGATGAACAACAATTTAAAAAAGTCCTTCTTTCGGTATGGAGTCGGTCCGATGTCTACTCTAGTAGTAGTACACTCGAAAATCTCATTTCCGCTCAGCAGGTGTGCACGTGTGTGAACGAACAGGCCGACACGTAGATCTACGTCCGGCATAGTCGGCGACGTGCTAACAAACTAAAAAAACTCCTTTCCTCTGTTGCAATGCATCGTCGACGGTCTGACAGAAATTCACGATCGGACTGGCTGCAAAGTAGCACACTCAAAGTAGAAACAACGGCTGGGCTTTTACTTTTAGGCGGCGAGACCGCTTTGGAGCGTCGAGATTTTGATTGCTGTCTCTGTGGTACATGTAGATCTAGATGGTTGGCTTTCCGCAATCATTGGGCTTTGGCCGTTTCGGCTTCTTGCTCGGTGTGTTGGTGGGAGAGTGATTTGGAGAACAGCGCGGCATGAGCATCAGTTCGGTTAGGGAGATCATGTCAGTCTTGACAGCGGCATGGTGGTCGTCCTCGGGACCTCCAGTCTCCTTATCACTGGGCTGCCATTCAGAATTCTCCGCATCGGTAAGCACCTGTTGCTAGCTGAGTAGCTGAGTTAGTCCGTAATGATCAGGTACCGGTATTCTGGTTTTTTTTTTAATTATTTCAACTCATTTCTCTCCCGCATAATAAATAATGCTATGGGCGAGCGTCATCTTCAAGTTTTGGTGATGGCGATAGTGGGGCTAGCCTAGTTTTGGTGGTCTGTGTCGTGATAGCACTCATTTCCCGTGTCGCGTCGATATGTCGTGAGAGGAAAGTAGAATCTACCGCTACTAACCCTGCTAATCGTTCACGGTAGAAAAGAACCGGCATGATCTACTGACTTGAAAGGTGTCTACCGCCACGTACTTGGAGATGGAAAACGAGCGCCCCTTACTTTTGGGGGAGGGGGTGCAGCGTGACTGCACCCCCTCCCCCATATACTAGCAGACTGCTCAGGAGACGTTCAGGGATCTGACACCTAGCTCTAACACGCACTCTCCGATGCGATAATTAAAGGTTCGCGGTTGTAGTAGGACACAAGACGTCACGAGAAACCATCATGGTGCAAACGCCAGCTCCCGCTGGAAATCACAGGGAGGCACACAGCGATGGCAGGCGAAGCAGTGGAGGCGGGGCAGAAGCAGCTAAACCGACCAAGGGTCTCCGTATCAACATTGCTAATGCGGGTCAGGCAGAGAAGAAAACACCGGAGTCTATAGTGTTTTTATATGAAAGCAAAAAAAAGCAGGAGAACGAGCTAGTACTTTAGAAGTCTGCTTTATTAGTCTCTGTGTAGGCTCCCCCTACGAACTCCTACTAGTCCTTTCTGTCTGCCTTCGTTTGTGTACCCCCCCCCCCCCCCAGCCCCCTGTCTGTTACCCTCCACTAGTTCTGGTCTCACAGTAGACTATCCCGGTATCATGAAACATGGAAATCGAAACACTGATGTTTGCAGCTCACCCAGGGGCTCTGTGATCATGACACTTTGATGGAGTCCGTTGTCTTATCATGCACCGCGTACCACGTGTGTTGTGTCTGTTTTCCGCAGGCACCTGACAGAACTCTGGGATGCATCGAGTCAGTTCTGGCAGCACAGATGGAATCAGCTCTATCACGATGTGGCGGGAGGCAACGAGTTCCTTCTATCTAGCCGTGAGTGGGTTTTAAAGAACACGACGGGCCAGGGTGCTCGCCAAAGCGACATAGCGGGGCGCTGCGCCCTCCTTCACTTTTGGACCGCCCCCTTTCAAAATGAATGCACCACCCTTCACTTCAGAGAGCGAGCGCCCCACCTTCTTATATGCATGATGAGGACACATCACATACATATATAGTCAAACCTCTTTAGGACGAACACCAAGGGACCGACGGGATTTGTTCGCAATAACGGGAGTTCTTCTTATCCTTATCTTATCAGTGTCTGCTCTAGGATTGTAGGACAGCCGGTACACGTGTAACTGGCGCAACCATTTCAACCGGGTCGGAACCGGGTACACATGCCCAATGATATAAAGGCGAATGAATAAGCCGCATTTAGAAAAGAGAGGACAGGAATTAGAAAATTACGAAAGAAGAAGTATCTGACACATACAAGCCATGTAGTCAGTCCTTTCAAAGTTCGAAAGTGTAAAGTACCAACCGGGTCACAGGTGACCCGGTACTATATTTTCAACCGGGTCCAAGCGCCGCCCAACCGGGTGGATTGCCCGGCTCACCCGGCGCTGGAGCAGACACTGTCTTATACCCAGTGAATACACCGTGATTTATCCAATAGAGTTACAAATACTAGTTCTTCTTTTAAAGCGAAAGTTTGTTTTATCAGTGTTCTTCTTAACGAGGTTTCACTGTACATGTAGTAGCACAGCATTGTATGAGTCATTGTATGAGTCATTGTATGAGTCATTGCATGAGTCTTTGCATGAGTCATTGCATGAGTCATTGCATGAGTCATTGTATGAGTCATTGCATGAGTCATTGTATGAGTCATTGTATGAGTCATTGTATGAGTCATTGTATCATAGTCATCACTTACCTCTGACAACCATAATGATTATCAATGGCGGGTTCCAGTGGCCGGTGAATAAATACATGGAATGGTCGGTTGCTTACTGGTGTTGGTGAAAGCAGCGGCCAAAATGACGACACAAAATGGCGGTGAAACCACAAAATGTTGGGTCCTATAATGATCCCCCCCCCCCCCCCCCCCATCACTTTTGTTCTGGCTATAACGTTGCGGGCATATTCCCATTCTGACCCAATGATACATGTATCAAAAATAAATAAACGTGATAACATAATAACATTTTGTCCTTCTCCCTTTTCACCATAAATAAACATGACAATGCAATAACACGCTTTTTGAAGGCCCTAAGAGAAAAATGACCTTTGGCAGGTCTGGAGTAGTGTACTTTATACTGAACTGTACTGCAGCCAGTTATACTCAGGAAACCATGGTGTAGAGGAGGACTTTACTTTGAAATGTATTTCCCTGTATGGTGGCTAGTTTTATGACGGCGGTTCTAGTCGACTCAGCATGGCAGCTTTTTCTCGGTCGTTTTTCTGACTGATGCAGCCGGTACTGAGATATCTCTTCCAGTATGGTTCAGCTGAGCTCAGTCCTACTGGCAAAAGCTGGAACAGCGTTATGACATCAAATAGTCAGTGCAGGCAAAAAAAGAAGATATACCTGCTCAATACCTGCTCAATACCTGCTCAAGTACTTAGTAATTAGACTTGGACGTTTTCTCGTGACTATCACAAGTGGAACATCGTCACATGGTAAGGATCACGAAAACAACCAGTTATGTAGCTAGAATAATACTGATCACGAGTAGCGTGGGAATGTAGCAGCTCGCGGCTACACACAGCGTCATTTACACATGAGCAGTATGGGCTTATGCAGTGAATGTGAAAATGGTTGTGTAACCGTTGTGGCATCTGGCATTGGATCTGTTTTAAAAACCATTGTGCAAGTAATGGTGACTGTGTTTGGTGCTATCGGGTGTGTGTTGCAGTTCTATGGAGTTCCATGGTCGCCTTCTACTGGTTGTTCAATGCATTCTTCATCTTCGTGGAGCTGACTGGAACCCCTTCGAGCATCTAGGAATGGAATGGAAATAAAAATAATGGCAAATATGTTAGTTATTTTTGGATTAATGTACAGTGCTAGTGCTGACTAGGGACATTTGATCACTTGCTAACGAACTGAGCAGCAGCGAAGGCGCTACGAACGGCTGAGAAGCGAGTGTGCTACGAACGGCTGCTTTAAGGCCCTGTTGAGCCTGGCAGAGAAAGAGCGCCGGCAGTGGTCGCACTTTGCTGGCCTGACGTGTACGTGGCATTAGAAACCAGTAGTCCAAGGTCGGACCCTGTTAGCTCAACTTCTATCAATCCTCGGTCTTTGTGTGTGTGATTCCATACAGGTGGAATGGCAGACGTTCAAGAAGTGTTTGAAGGTTGTCCTCTTAAACCAGTTGGTTGTGGGTTATAGCAGCCAACTTGCACTCTACTGGATCTTCCAAAAGCGCGGCGGATTATTTGCCGAGACCCTGCCGTCCTTCCAGTGGTGCTTGGTGGAGCTGGCGATCTCTATGTTTATCTTTGAGGTGATTTTCTTCTATTCGCACCGGTAAGGAATGATCAGCAGTGAGGTGAAGTTGCCTTGCGTGTTCACAGGAAAATAAGGTGGGGTTCATGTCATGACTTTGTCGAGCCCGCATGATCGAACAATGCTTGCACCGGTGATATAACATGTCTGTTTATGTGTGTATTTTAGTCTTGACCGTCTTCTATATCTCAGCGGTGTGCCATTACTGTGGGCATGAGTAGTCCTAACACCGGCTGGGATGGCAACACTGCTAGGGGGTGGCTGGTCAGGCCATGCCCGGACTAACTGCTTGGCCACCAGCGCATGTTCACACGTACTACCGAGGAGGTTATGTGCCCCTGCCATGTCATACATAAACTGCATGAAAGACTAGGGGCATGATCGATTGGGCGAATCCCGAGCAAGTGTGCTCCGAGTGAGCGTGATCGTTTGGTTGAATCCGATCGAATCCGGAGTAGGTGTGTCATGGCCGGTGATCCATCTAGTGGCACCAGGTCGTCAACCAATACAGTTGACTCAAGCAGATAAGTAGCTCACCTGTTTTCCGGCTCACACAAGGTAGTCGAAGGTTGAAGGGGAGCGATCAAAGATACTTTTATTCGTTGAAGAAGGCGGCTTTTATATGATTTTGTTATAGTATAATTGTGATATAATAATTAGTAGGAAATATTTAGTATAGCTTCGGGGAGCTCGCTCACCCACATTACACGATAGTGTTACAAATATGAGTGATCTCCGAGGTTATTCGTACGTCGATCGTGCGACGGAGCCTGGAGTACGCTGTCGGATGTTGCTGCAGCTAGAGCGCGCCGCCTTCGTACGCTGTCTTGATTGGGTCACCCTTCATCTTCTGCCCCGTAGGCTCTTCCCTCTCATTATCCCGTAGGGCGGTTCTCGGCCAAGCCGCGACCTCTCCCAAAAAAGGGATAACGGAGTCCGCAGTGCGCGAAGCACTTGCAGGACCCTTTACGTCGTATGACGCGAGAAGAGGGGCCTTGCTTGCTCGACTAACAAAGGTATCAGCTCCCTTGCAGGACTAAGCAGGGTCCCCTCAAGCTCAACAGTGTAGTGAGTACAATGCTGACGACTTGTACTGAAGGTGTAGCCGCCGTACGACAACACTTGTGACTCGAGGCCACGAGTTGTAAGCCATGATTTCTCAACTAACGAAAGTGCCAAATCCTTCGCAGGACTAATCATGGTTCTTACAGAACTCTAGAATATTTCGGAGCCCAGCTTTTGGCTGCTGAATCTCATTGCGTGGTCGCTTTCACGACGAGTCGAGTCCGGGTCATGACAGGTGTACTTGGAGTGGAATCCGACCACACCGGCCCCAAAAAACACCGGGAGTGGCTGGAGTGGAAATGGACTTTGCCGTTTTTGGACAGCTTTCACAGAATCTTTGTACGATATGCGTACATTTTGCGTACTACACCCTTGTTTTGTTCGATTGGGCCAGCGTTGCTCGGACCACACCGCCTGCTCGCACTCAATCCAGATTCACCAATCGATGACACCCCAAGGTATGGCCGGACCAATCACACCGTGACTGTTTCCGCCTGTCCTGTATTGTGGAATTGCGTATTGAACGCCATTTGTTGAGGTGTTGACAGTCTGTAGTTCCCGTATTGCTGCGAGTACATGGGCTTCAGTTCAGCCAGCATACAACTACTCGGATATTTATTTATTTATATTTATCGTCTCCGCTTCATGGCACATAATAATACATAGCCAATACAAGAAAGGGAGGGTGAATCCAACCACGGAAAATAGCATTAAAAAAAAGAAGAAAAGGAAGGGAGGTGACACCATGTGTCAACAGCAGGTAGCACAATACAGACAATACAGTACTTTTTTAGCTGAAATGCATCCTTAAAAGCTGAGAGAGACTGTGAACAGCGAATATTATAAGAGAGTTTGAGCCAAAATGTGTAAGCCATAAAGACAGGTGATTTGATCATTAGGGACAATTGAGGGGAAGGTAATGATACCTGGTGTCTTGTATTTCTCTCTCGCTGGAACCAATCATATTTCTTGAAGTGCCTGGGGATTTGCTTAAGATAAATAATTTTCTGAACGAGTGCACACAGGTGTGCTTGGCGTCTATCAGCAAGTGGAGAGGAGGCTACGAGACAGTATAATATGCTTACTGTTATACATGAGAGGGATTTTCCAAATAGCCGTTTAATTATTTTTCTATGGTGAATTTCAAGCTTGGAAACAGCAGCTGCACTAAGACCACACCATGCTATGTCAGCGTAATCAAACGAGAGAGCTTGGAAGCTCAGGGCCCTACGCCGCTATGCGTTTTTGCCTTGATGACCTAGGCAAAAAAAGCATAAAATAATATGAAATTTTTCATTTCTCCTATTTTTTTTTCAGACATAACCTGGGATTCGAACCCGCACTATCGCCCTGCATGCATCACCCGATACACTTCGCATACATACTAATTCTTCCAAGTTGCTTCACGTTATTGTTGTCCCTGCCCTTTTGGCACGTGTGTGCCCCTTTTGGCACGTTGGTGCGGACCGCGCGCGGACTGCGCCGGTTGGAGATTATCGTACCTGTTCTTGTTGTTGTGCGCATGCTTGCATGCTTATCGTGCGCATCCTGATTGTTTTTGGGGGGCCTTCTTCCTGAGACTCTCCTTGGAGTAAGACGAAAATAACCTGTCCTCTGAGTGTGGCGTGCGTGTGATGTATAAGAGTAATCGGAAGGGCTATCGTGCGAGGGAATAAAACCCCCCGACGACAATCAGGATGCGCACGATAAGCATGCAAGCATGCGCACAACAACAAGAACAGGTACGATAATCTCCAACCGGCGCAGTCCGCGCGCGGTCCGCACCAACGTGCCAAAAGGGGCACACACGTGCCAAAAGGGCAGGGACAACATTATGATCTTGAATTTGAAAGCCCTATTTGAATATCGTGGCCAGCTGTTTCTGGCCAGCCGTCTTTGATGGTACGGGACGGGACAGATACGGTCGAGGGTAATACGACACCGTCTACCACCTTGATGACCTAGGCAAAAAAAAGCATAGGGATGTTTTCAATTCTCCAATTTTTTAGGCATAACCTGGGATTCGAACCCGCGCTATCGCCCTACATGCATTCCCCAATTAACTTCGCTTTCATATTCATTCTTCCAAGTTGCTTCACGTTATGATCTTGCATTTGAAAGCTCTATTTGAATATTGTGGCCAGCTGTTTGTGGCCAGCTGTGTTTGATGGTACGGTACGGTACGGGACAGATACGGGATAGCGCCAGGCGTGACACAAACACACAAACAAACAAACACCAAATTAAAGCTGTGTGGACCCTGGCTAGCGCCAGACGTTACTGAAGTAACGTCTTCTGCATAGTTACGGGAATAAGGGCAGAATATAGCATCGGTAGAATAGAATCTTGCAACTGTTTGGGAGATGGGAAAATGAGAGAGCAAGGCTCCAAGAGCAGAGCTGGTACGACAACGCACAGAAATCATATGTTCTGACCACGAAAGAGCAGAATCAATCACTACTCCTAGGTGTTTGTGACCACTCACCATCTCAATAGGCTGGGGAGATCCTGGGAAATACAACGCAATGTTATCTGCCGACGCACAGCCGATGATAAGAACAGGTCGGGGGGGGGGGGGGGGGTTGGAGAGTGTTTCTGCCGTCTTCTCTCTTTCCCATGAGCCTCCAGATGCTGGAATATTATCTGCACAGTCGTTGTCGTTTGACGTTCTACGTTCTCTCTCTCTCCCTCTCCCTCTTCTTCTCTCTCTCCCTCTCCTCTCCATCCTCTCTCCCCCTCTCCTTTCTCTCTCTCTCTCTCTCTCTCTCTCTCTCTCTCTCTCTCTCTCTCTCTCTCTCTCTCTCTCTCTCTCTCTCTCTCTTTGTTTCTCTCCCTCTTCCTCTCTCTTTTGCTTTGTGTTTCTCTAGGGCACTTCACATTCCCTTGTGGTACAAACACATCCACAAGGTCCACCACGAGTGGACCGCACCAATCAGCATTTCTGGGCTGTACTGTCATCCGGTCGAGCATGTCATCGCCAACATATTGCCGGTAATGGCTGGTCCCGTCCTGCTCGGCTCTCACTGTATGCTGCTGCTGCTGTGGGCCTGTATCTCGCTGGCCTCCGTGTCCGTCGCACACTGCGGCTTCCACCTGCCGTTCATGCCGTCCAACGAGTACCACGACTACCATCATGCAAAGTTAGTAGTGTAGTGTGTGCATTCTGCATTGATTGGTAGCTGTACCAATACCTTGCACATACATGGGAGGCGGTGAACGCAACAATCTGACTTGAGCCCCCCCCCCCCCCCCCCCCACTGTACCCCTAAAAGGAAATACTCCCCCCCCCCAAAAAAAACACTTCTGGCTGCATGTATAAAAAACCACGTGCACAGAGAAGAATATTACTCCCTCAGTCCCTGCCCCCCCCCCCCCCCAACAACAGAAAAGAAATACTCCCTGTTTCCAGCAGTCCACTTGCATACCAGTGTCATGGTTGTTGTCTCTTCTGACCATGAATGTTCCTATAGGTATTGTCTGATTCTGATCCAATGCACTACAATGCCCTCAGTTTGGTGTGTCTGCCATTCGATGATGCCGAGACCTCTGGTCAGTTGAGCCTGGCAGGACCGGCCTACCAGCACCGTCTCACTGGTGACTCCATGCTAGCCTCATGTGCCTGGCGGTGAGTTTGTGTACCTCGTAAAAAAACTGATATTATTTTTTGTTTATGTTGGCTGCTGCTACGCAGGTTCAACCAGAACTTTGGCATGCTGGGGATCTTTGATTTTCTGTATGGCACGGACAGTCGCTTCCGTAAATCAAAGTCGTACGAGCGCCATTCCATGCTACTTGGCACCACCCCAGCCAACGTTCTGATTCCGGACGAACCGAAGAAATGCCAGTAAAAAGGTCAAGTCGGCAGTGCATGTGCGTGTGTGCACCCTCACTGCTGTTGCTAGTCTCCTCACAGTCCACCCTTGACCGTCCCATCCTCCAGTTTCAATGCTAGTATTGTCACTACTCTACATGTACGTGTATTGTAGCATATCCACCATCAATGCTAGTCACATGGCAAATTCCACTTAGCTACCGTGACTACTTCAGGCATGCCTTTGATATTATTATTTTTATTCACATAGCTATGGGTTTTTTTTGTGGCAAATTCACTAGTGCCCTAGCTCGGCCCAATCTGTGTTCTATCATGGGTGGTTTAATAACGACATTGCATTGTTCAATCTTCCAGTCCTATCAGTGACAACTCTCATAGCCAATGTGCATTGTTTCCGACGGCGATCACCAAGAAGTTATGTTCTCTTTCTCAGCTAGGGCCGTTCACAATTTGTTTTCCATTTCAATTTCCGCCCTTTCCACCATCCTGGAAGCATGGAGAGGGACAGTACCGGTATTATGGATATTTTTAAGTTACAAGCCGGGCATTGGCTATGTCATCACTCATCAGTACTACTTTCCAGCTATACTGCTATGACATCAGTACTACTTTCCAGCTGTCCTGCTATGACATCAGTACTACTTGCTCCCAAGTCACTCTGTTTTCTGTACCCGATTACCGGTACTTAATTGTGTCACTATTCAAGGTACTTTATACTTGAAGTACTACGCTTACTTCATACAAAGTGTTGAAATATGAAGCCTGAAATCACATGCAGTCTAAGCAACCCTGTACGATTCCGGCATGCGGACACTGCAACTTGCTGTTGGCACCACCACCCCCCCCCCCCCCCCCCCCCTGAACACTGTGTGCCACTGCGCTCGTGGCAAATCCAAACTACACTAGTATCTGCTCATCCAAATCCAGAGGGCTCAGATACCCCCCCCCCCCCCCAAGCGGACGTTACCATACTCTTGTGACTGCCAATGAGCACGGCCAGTGATCTCTGGGGGTATTTCCACAGAATCAGGGTCCGTGACTTTTGCCACCTCCATTTATCTACCCTTCAATGTGCTGTCGTGGACTTTGAAATTCGTTGAGAAGTCAAGCGGTCACTGGGCACTGACCTTGCAGTCGTGAGCACTGCTGGTCCATTTTTACAGTGTGCACATAAACTATAGAGTGTGTACATGCTAACAGCAGTAAGAGTGCCGGTCCCGGTCATCCCATCTGATTTCAATGTTCACGACAGTACATTGTAGATCTGAACCATGATGAATTTGATCATTACAACACTGCTGCATATTACCAAGAGAACATAATGCAAATACTGGCAGAGGTAGGATCCCGTTCATGAGCTTGTAATGAAAGGGCACACTCTAGTTTGGCATGGTGTCTCCTTATGTATGCACATTCACGCATAACAAATACACGCACACGTGCATCCACATCCATGCGCATCCCCTCCCTCCCTCCCCCCCCCCCCCCCCCTCACCCTCCACACACACACGCATGTACACACACACACACACACACACACACACACACACACACACACACACACACACACACACACACACACACACACACACACACACACAACACACACACACACATACACGCACATACACACACAAAAATGTGCGCACGCGGGCACGCATGCACACACACAAACACATTGGACCTTGGACGCATTGTCATGTTCAGACAGGATAAGTCATGTTGTCTACTGAAAAGCCAGCCACAATTGTAAATATTGTTGAAGGAGCCGCAGTCTGTGTGTGTGCTCGGGTCGAACCATGGCTACATTTGTGACGCTTCATGCCTTCGTGTGTTAGCACACAGCGGTGTAAACGGATATTTCTTGCTTGTCACACGATGCTAGCATTGCTGCTAGATTTCAATACTGGAGTAAAATACGATGTGTATCTCAAGGGTAACCGCACACACTTTTGTATGTACAGGGTATGGCTGACACTGCTATGGCAATATACATTCGAGTGTAAACATTTGTAGAGTAGAGTTTTCCAGGTTTAACTGACATACCGGTAACTATTCTGTACAGTGACTAGTGTAAAAACAGTAGGTGAGAGTAGACATGAACACATTCAGTAAAACTGATACCACAGTAGACTGGACTAGACAGTACATGTAGTTCAGTTGATCATTATATCTACATAGTAACACAACACTGTGTGTGTCATAGACAATCTGTATACATCATGTCTATACAAGTGATGTCACAGTGTTGTGATCAATGACAGGTAGTGTGCTGTTGGAGAATCTCTTACTGCAGTAGCTGCTTGAAATGATCCCTGTCCAGTGCTGGTCACTTTCACCAATCTCAACTGCTAAACACTATCCAGTAGAGATCTTCAGAAGCTCAGCTAGCCCTGTAGAATGTACAACAGTGAGGGTGTACATACACACCACACACATACGCACACACACACACACACACGCACACACACACACACACATACACTCAACATACACACACATACACACAAAAACACACACACACACACACAAACAAACAAAAACTTAAAAGTCTGTCTTATTGAGCCAATATTACAGGGTAACACAAGATCAAGAATGGGAAATACAAAGAGGCAATTCGATAATACGGCGTGATGATGTTAGTATCATGTTACGGATGACCAAAAGTTTGGTTCGCACATCTCCCCTCCAACTCCCCCCCCCCAACCCCCCCACACACACACACATCAGCACCCCCCCCCCCCCCCCCAACACACACACAGACATACCTGCAACCCCCCCCCTCCCACACACCTCTATCCCCTCCTCCCCCACATCGGCACCCCCCCCCCCCCACACACACACACACCGGCACACCCCACCCCCCCCATCCCACACAGAAACGTTTACACACAGACTCAGCAGTAATTTTCTCACGATAACAAGGCACTAACAAACCAGTTCATCACACAGCACTCACAATCTGTCATGTCAGTTGATGATAACACTCTAACTGCCAAAACTGGTCACGTGGGTCTCCCCGGGAGAAGGGAGAGAGACTCAGGCTGCGTTTACACGACAACGCACGGCCAGTTTTCCGTTTTCAGTCCCTCATTTCTTCTTTCGTTTTCGTGCGTTTACATGATCAAAGCTGATCCGAGGTGGTCTCCGTTTGCATCGTTTTCGCACGTCTACACGAGCAAAGGATCCGCAAAAGTTTCGTCATGTGCCAAGTGTTGTCGTGGAAGCACCAATCACACTCAAGGAATAGTTGAAAACAGGCCACAAAACAACACTCGTCACATGACGAAAATTGTAAAAACAATTTTTTGGATTGCCGGATATCCGGATCCGTGTGAACGGCCGAAAACGAAACAAGCGTGGCGGAAAACGAGGCCAGCATACCGTTTCGATTGTTTACACACTCAAATTTATCCGGCAGAACATTTCCGTTTTCAAATTCTTCCACCTTGGCCAGCGTTTTGGTTTTCTTCCGTTTTGGCGTACAACTTTTACGTTTTGCTTTTCGAACCGTGTAAATGAACCATGCATCCGAAAGGATTTTGTTGCGTTTTCACCCCCAGCGTTGTCGGGTTAACGCAGCCTCAAAAGGAATCTTGGAAAGAGGAATCAATTGGCTATTTGAACTGCTCAATGGCAGACGCCCCCTGAAACCCCAAAACTCTGGGTGCACTTGGAATATGCCTCATTTCTCGTTGGCTGACGTAGGAAAGAAACGAGAAATGTAGTTCATTTTTGTCTTTCTTTTGCATGACGTAACATTGGCTGCTCGCAAATGCGAGATATTAGGAGCATGCGCTCCGGCTGCGGCGCTCTTTTTCTTCTTGCTTTGCAAGTGTAGTGCCCATGCCCGCCCACCCTAGTGAATGGTTATCTTGTTGAGTCGTTTGGATATTTCCGGTGTGCTCAGATTGCAGACTGCAATAATCTTGATGATCTAGTTGAGTTGCTTTAAGCTGTTAATTTTTGTCGCCATGAGTTGACAATATATTTGCTTGCTGTTGCTGCTGTCCCCTCAGAGGCTGTTTGTTGTTGCTGTGTGCGTGTGTATGTGAGTGTGTATGTGAGTGAGGTGTGTTAGGGGTGGGAGCATGTATGGTGTGGCTGCACACGGGAGTGAGAAAGAGAGTAAAAAAGAATGATCCCACTTATGGGCTCGCCACACCTCAGTAAGTGGGTGAGGACAAGGCGCAGAAAAAGGATTGTTGGCATCAGGGTATCCATCCCGGGATCCAACACACACACACACACACACACACACACACACACACACACACACACACACACACACACACACACACACACACACAGACTCCGGGTCCCTAATCCTCATACTTCGAAATATATACAATCAAGCAGTTCATGTGTTTCTCATTGAGCGAGACGAAGACGAGAAGAGGCATGAGGGTTTGTGACGGGATAAGTGACTTGCCTTTTGAATCGACTCTGGAAATTGCGACATTTTTATTGGAACTTGTCTGTTTAGCTGGTCACAGGTTGACACGGTGCAAGACCAATTTGAGTGGCAGCAGGGTATGTTGACTGAATACGACCAGCTTACAAACTGGCCAGGGAGATAGGCAGTGAAGTGAGCAAGCGCGTATTCGCTCGACAAAAAAGAGATCGCCAACACCAGTGCCCATACATGCAGCCACACACGCACATACACACACACACACACACACACACACACACACACACACACACAAACACACGCACGGGCGCAAGTGCTCTCAAGCACATACACACACTGAAAGACTCCCGCCTGTTCTACTAACCCATCGTTTCAATGTCACATTGGCCCTGGAAGGGGTCCTACAGAGGGACAGTAGGAATATACTCTGTGGGATCCTACAGAAAATCAAAGGTCTTGCGTGAGCACCCCTCCGCCTCCGCCTCCTGCCATGGACTCATCGGTAGTTCACGTAATACTGAGCACTACCATACAAGTACAGCCCCCCATGCACATACACACACATACACACATACACACACATACAACCCCCATCCCCCCCCCCCCCCCCCACACCCACCAACACACACACACATCCGCACCCCCCCCCCCCCCCCCACACACACACACATATCCGCCCCCCCCCCCCCCCCCCCCCTGCTGGTCCTGCGATGGACTCTCGGCAGTTCACTCGAAGGGCCCGTAGGACAGTCAGGTTCACCTGCTGATGGTGCTGCATGGCGGTCGTCGCTGCACCGCGCTCCCAGTAGGGTCCGGCCTGCTGGCGGTGAGCGGCAATACGGATCCAAGTAGAGCGAGGAGAAGCTGGGTGGCATTGTCGACGCCAGTGGATGCGGCACGTTGAACTTCCAACCGAAAATCAAAGTCCACGAACTCACCTCTCTAGATCTCTGGATACAGATTACGATCGTCAGGCTCGCGCCTGCTGTTGCAGTGTTGGTGCTGCGTGGCGGCCATCGCTGCGTTCCCAGTAGGCGGGCGGCGGAGCCAGGTAGAGTGAGGAGCTCCGGAGAGGCTGAATGCCGGTAGGTGACGACAACATTGTTTTAAGGTACAAACAAGGGTCGCTGAGATCGGAATTTGAAGCGTGGAGGTACTTCAGGAAACTTGATGCTGGCGCAAGCTAAAAGTCCACAGTCAACGGTCCACTGTAGACGACGACATTGTTTCAGGCACCAACAAGCGTTATTGAAGTCTGAATTTGAAGTGTAGAGATACGAGAATGCAAGCTTGAAAGTCTAAACAGAAGGAATTTGTTTAGGAACAGATGTTCTGCAAGTTGCACGCTCGAAAGTCAAAACAGCAATGACATGCAAGAGACATTGTACAGGATCTTGAAGGGCGCGTGCCCACGTGATTCGCGCATGCGCGCAGGTCGGGCCAACTCGCTGGGCTGGCTGCTAACTCGCGATAGCATGCTAATGCTCATATGTTGCAGTGTAACACAAGATCAAGAATGGGAAGTAAAAGAGGCAGTTCGAAAATAAGTCGTGATGATGTTACAGATGATTAAAAGTTTGGTTCGCACACCTCCCCTCCAACTCCCCCCCCCCCCCCAAACCCACACACCTACCCCCCCCCCCCCCCCCACCCCCAACACACACATCCCACCTCCCCCCCCCCCCCACACACACACACATCCCCCTAGCAAGGCACTAATACACCAGTTTATCACACAGCACTCGAAATCTGTCATGTGAGTCGATCTTGACACTCCAACTTACTGTGGTATGCGATGTCTAAGTACTACCAGCATAGTACAGTGTTGGTTGTGTTCACTTAGGTGTTCACCAGTTTGACGATGTTTGCCACACAGGTAAGCCATGCCACAACGAGGACATGGCTCGATGTTGTCCAGGTCATAGCAGACAAAACATGCCGCTACACGTGGACACCATTCCTGTAGTGCAATGTGGTGATCAATGCTCACACGGCCTCTCTTGGATTGACGATGCAGGGCAGCAATGAGAGAGTTATGTAGTAGAGTATCGTCTCCAGCTTGTGGTGGTAAGTACACAATTCCAGACACTGAGAGACCAGTTGCACAATTGCTTGGCAGGTAAGCACTGAGATCATTAACCAATGACTTCAACGCTGGGAAGAGTTTGGAACTAACATCAGTCGCGAAGACAGTATTCTACAACAAAGTACACAACAAAGAACAGTGTAGAAAAGAAAGTAACTGAGGTCCGTACACTCAAAACAGAGAACATCATGCACAATAATAACAAATCAGACTGATATAGCGGAAAGCTACACATTCCATTTCACTAGTTTACAATGTTCAAAATTATCACATTTCCCTCTGTGTTCTTCAAGAAATCTACCTTAGAGAGACAGACACTATACAGTAGATAATTACTGAGTACACTGGTTTGCAATACAATGTTCAATTCAGAGTGGAATGTGGATGAAAAACAGTTATGGTATCCTGAATTGTGTACACTGCACTACCAGCTTACCTCAATGCTGAGCAGTGTTCTAGCTGTCAGAATACAAGACTGCATCACTTCCAGATCAGGTATCTTGTTCTGGCTACAGTTGTTAATCAGTGCTGTTGTTTGATCTGCTGGATTTGAGCCATTACACCATCTCCTGACATAGTCCATCACAATGTTGAAGGGATGCTGTGCTGGTAGAGTGAGACCAGTTGGAGTTGTGTGTGTCCTTCCATTTACTACCAAGGAACTGTGCCGGTAGCTGTACACATCATTCCAGTACATTGCCAGTAGTGTGGACACTATGTCATTATCCATGGAGTACAGGTAGCGTTGTATCCGATTAGCAGACACAGTGGTATAGTCGCCATGGACATTGACCTCGCGACTGATAGCAGTTGGTACGTGTTTCCACTTGCACAGTGGTATACCCAGTGGTGTAATCAATGATGGTGAAATAATCCACTCACTGCTACAGGAACTTGACATGACCTTGCCCAGGATCACAGCAATGCACTGTAGCAGAAAACCGTACATTCCAGTACATGAAGGAACTGCACCATCCTGTGATAGGAAGTGTGATGAGATCACTCTCTCAGCAAGGTCTTCTATCACCTGCACATTGGGTATATCCTTGTTTAGCAGAGTGGAACAAAACAGTTGAATGAGTTTCAGGGCACATTCAGTGACACCTGTTGCAAGACCCATTCTCAGTGTTGTTGTAACACGCTGGTACACCACCTGCAGACGGGATAGTGTTTCCTGGCTGGGCTCAAGCTGTCCTTCCCTGAAGTCGATGTCCAGAGACATGAATACCCTGCATGACTCCAGAGAAAGTTGCATCAAAGGTAGCAGCAACTGTGAATCCACTCTTGTCGAATCTTGTTCAGATTTCTCCAGGAGCATTCGGGTTCTGGAATCCAAACTCTCAAAAGTGACATCAGAATCTGCAATGCTTAGACGGGAAATATAAAACTGGACCGAGGTGCAAATGCTGTCAGCTTGTGCAGATAGCGGTGCTTTATCCAATCTTTGTATCCTGTTCAAAAACTCTCCATCAAATGCTGCTCTCCCAAACAAGGCAAGTAGGATACCCGGCCACTTTGTTAATCCAGAGAAAGGAAGCAAGTCATCTCCAGACAAAACATCAACAACAGACAACGACATCTGTATATTCACTTTTTCCTGAAGCAATTGGTAACTCCAAAACACTGCTTTGTCTGCACCACAACCTCTACAGTCATCAGCTTCCTTTACAAAGCCTAGGAAATGCTTGCAAATTCGCCGTTGGTACATGCGTTGCTTGTCTTCAGGGCATTGGTAACGGCCAAACTCGGCGATGAATGGCTGCAAAGAGTAGCGATCCAAATACGAATTGTAATCCAGGAAACAAATCTTGATCAACGGATCAAAACGTACAAGATGAACCACATTGGCCTTAGTGTCAGCCAATCCTACCATCACACAAGCACATTTGGATGAGAATGAGGAGTGCAGTTGAGCTAGAGCATGGAATGATTCCTTGTCATCATGTTGTAATGTGTTGTATGCTAATTCCAACAGCTTCAGGATTCGATGATTTGGTTTCAGACCATCATTGTTGAACACATCGAGACCAAGATCTTGAAATAACGACAGCAACATGGTTGGAGTTAATCGACCACCTAGTAGGAGGCCAGCTGTAATGCGTACAGCAAGTGGAACATTTCCACAACGGTCCACTAACCTCTGTGCATCTTCAATGCTCACACTACCTTCAACACATAGACCATGGAGAAGACCAACAGCACAAACCTTTGTCAGACCATCAAGACGGTGTTGTTGTAGTTTAAACTGGGCAGCGTGTAGGTCAAAGTAAACACGACTTGTCAGTAGGACATGGGCGTTGTGTTGTAGTCGAAGTAGTCGTTTGATGACATCTTGTAGTTGGAAATCTTTATCAGCACCAGCCTGCATAGCATCCTCCGCATTATCCAGAATACATAACATGTGGTGTTTGCCACCATCATCATCCCTGCCATCAGTTGATTTCGTTGCTTTGCCAGTAGTTTCAGATGAAGCTGGGTTTGTTTCGAGTCGGTTTTGAATCATTGCCTGGACAGCGTCAACACCAGCTACACCGCGTAAGTCAAAGAACTCCACACGACAACCAGCATTGCGACATACATGTCCCACAGCAATGGCTACGGACGTCTTACCAAAACCAGCTGGTGCCACAAGACTCTGCACACGTGTAGATGATGACTTGGACTTTGTTGTGAGAATGTTGTGACTGATCTCTGTAACAATGTCATCCCTGCCAGTGAAGTGTTCGTCCTGGTCTGGTAAAGATGACTGGCTTGAAGTGCCTGATCTAGCTGAATCCTGTGTTGTAGTCAATGTTGTACCCGTTCTAGTTACATTGGCTGTTGTTCCAGCTGATGTTGGTTGTTTGAAGATTGGCTCACATCTGTTGGAGGTCCGTTGCTGGTCTGCCTCACCATCCCCCACTATGTGCTGCAATGGCTGTGTTTCCTGTTTGCCAACTGTTGCCATGGTGATAGGTAGCAAGATAACAGAAAGCAAGAGTAAAAACCTATTGTAAGTTTTGAAAATCTTTCAATGGGGATGTATGGCCTACTTTCTCCGTTAATCCGTTAAGCAAAACTTCAATGCAGTTTTATAGACCTGTCAAAACCATCTGGCAGAGCAATGGATGTCATCGTGGCCACCATATCTCAGTGGGGGGGGGGGCGGGGGGGGGGGGGAGGGGGGAGGGGGGAGGGGGAGGGGGGGGGGGGGGGGGAGGTCACCGATATATTTGTCTAATGCCCATAGAAAGACCCTGATAAGAACAATAAACTGCAATGCAGAAGTTTTGCTTAACGGAGAAAGTCGAATATAATTTCACAGTACTGGACCTACTGGTAGTCTTCTGTGTATTGATTCGAATGGTGTTGGTCCGAGGAAGCTGAGCTACTGCCGTTGGCCTATGTTCCCAGTCGAACTCATGCACTGGAAGCTGAGCTACTGCCGTTGGCCTATGTTCCCAGTCGAACTCATGCACTTTCAACTTTTTGGATGAGTGCACCCCACTACTAGCACAGTTGCGCTCGGTGAAATCCAACACAAAGTGAATATTTTGGCGCCACTGGATGAGTTGCTTTGACTGACAGCCCAACGTCTGAAGGTAAATTCCCCTGAAAGAAACATACATCCGTTATGGTGAAGGAGAGTCGATCGTACAGCAAAAACAATTGGCAATGACAAAGGGAAAAATTACGTTCAAAAACGCCCCGATTTCAGCTACAAGTATTACAAACAAGAATCCCGGGCTTATTTCCTACTAGTGGTTGTTGTAGAACTCTACAATTAGTAACAAAGTCATGTTCCACTGATAGCGGATTTTCCACAATAGCGTTGATGACTATGTTGACTTAGTGAGATCTTTTGGAGGTCATTGAATAATGGCTTGTAGCCTCGGGCTCAGTTTTTCCAGGGAAATGTTCAAATTTATGAATCTCGACAAAGCACGAAATTTTCGGACAGAAAAGCCAAATGTCGACCTTTTTCATACGGATTTCATTTTCGTACTGTGGAGCATGCTAAATGCACGCGTGTGTTTGCATGCGGTGCGCATGTAAAGTGTACATATGTACATAACTTTACAGGAACAAATTTTAGTACGGAATTAATTTCAGTACAAAAGAGGCTGTGTACGAAATCGTACGAAAATAAATTCCGTTCGAAACTTCCTGCTATACAGTACCTTGCAATCTTTGCTCTCCAACAACTACTGTGCTAAGTCTGAGTTGAGGATTTCATCTGGAAAATGGTATTCTCTGGAATGCTGCACTATATCTGCAGCATAGCAATGAGAAAAAACTGACTCCGAGTCTCCGACTAAAGCAACGTTTGCGATTTCGAAGTAATTGAGGTTTGGAAAATGAAAGCCTGAGCAGTCACAGAAAGCAATTCAAGTATGGAAGGGGACGGTGTGGTTTCCGTCCAGCACTGCACTATTTGGTGCATAGATGCGCGTGCGAACTGAAGTGTATGGCGATACAGGATGTGCACATGCATGCCGTGTGCATGCATGTGCTGCACGGCATGCATGCCGGGTGTGCCTGCTTGCACAACTCACATGCTTTCACCGTCACAGCTTCTACAGTGTGCGCTCGATTCACTCGATTTTTACGTCCACCACCGGGAAATCGCTGTGGGCTGGCTTCTGTGATGTTCCTTCTACTGCAATAAAGTGCGAGGCTAAATGTTCTAGAATCCTCTTGTTTTAGACTAATTCGAGGCTGCTGAACATGAAAATTGGGTGTACCTCCCGGGGCCGAGTATGCATCTGGTCGAGATCAGTACTTCTCTATGCCTCTGTGCAAACCACGACTCCACCTTTTTGTTCAAGCATGGCATGTGTGGCATCAATGGAAAGGCAATGACCTCAGCTACCTAACATAGCATCGACAAGGGAGTACTGGCCACGGGATCAGATAGAAGCGGGGTCAAAGTCAGGCCAAGAGATTTCACGCGAGGCCCCATTTAACCCTTTGTTTACGGACTGTACAACTTTAGATCCCCTGGGATCCAAACCTTTCAAAATTTCAAGCGATCGGAACTCAGTCATTACTGAGTTATTTCCAAAAACTAACATATGTACGTAGAAGAGAAAACTCTCAGCTGTCCATTAAACACCACCAAAGTTGAACACATTGCAGTAAAAGTATAGCAACAACATACCTGTGTGGGACAAAATGGAGAGCATTTCCTTGCTCTTGTCCGCATACCCCAGTTCCTCAATGACAACACTGAGATCACGATAAGTGTTTAGGCCACCAGCTCTGAGCAACTGGATGAGCTCCTCATTATGATCAGATAGTCCATCCCGGGACCGAATTCTCTTTAGTCTCTCTATTGATGCGCTGTCAGTTATGATATGTTTCTTGATCACCATCCGTCGCAGTCGATCTGCGTCAACTTTGTTCAACCATGGTTGAATGTCACACACAAACCTATCCAGGTCAAACGGATTGTCTGTCGCGAAAGCAGCAAAATACAGAAGGCACAGATGACACATGAACACACAACTACACACAACTTCATGTCAAGAAACAAATAAAAATGGAATTGCACAACACCGATAATACATGGAAAGGAATTTAAGTGGACACACCCATTCCAAAAGCGCTGCACATCCGTTCAAGTTATTTCACAACGTTTCGGCACTTGGCCATCGTCAGGTGACAAGAACAATGGACACACACACACACTCACGCAGGCACACACACACACACACACACATACACACACACACACTCACACACTCACGTGCGCACGCACATACACACATGCACACACGCACACACACACACACACACACACACACACACACACACACACACACACACACACATACACACACACACACACATTCCCAGAACCGCACATCGGAGCGCTTCAGCGATTGTTGCAATGGACAGCTGGGAGTTTTCTCTTCTACCTACATATCTTAGTGTTTGAAAATAACCCAGAAATTACTGAGTTACGATCGATTGAAATCTTGAAAAGTTTCGATCCCAGGGGATCGAAAGTTGTACAGTCTGTACAGAAAGGGTTAAAATGTACACGCGAGTTGTGACTGCAGTTTTCACCTGACACAGGCTGGAACTGAACCCCCTAGCAATAATCTAGTGACCCATGACAGTGCTTCACGCCGGTAGCACCTGCATTTCTTGTAGATCTACAGAATCGTCATGTAGATCTGGTTATAACCTCAGGACTGACCATCTAACTGAACCCACTGCATTCCCAGGGTCAGCTCTCAATATGATTGATGTGAATGCATGAACTGATTGATCTCTGTAAGCACTTCTCGCTGCCAACAAGTAAGTTGTTGTTGTTGATTTTTATTTTACTTCGCAAGGCCAAACGGGCAATGGTGCCCAATTCTATGGAAGCGAATTTCAAACGGGAGAGAGCTACGGGGAGAGAGAGAGAGAGAGAGAGAGAGAGAGAGAGAGAGAGACAGAGAGAGAGAGAGAGAGAGAGAGACAGAGAGAGAGACAGAGAGAGACAGAGAGAGAGAGAGACACACACAGAGAGAGAGAGAGAGAGAGAGAGAGAGAGAGAGAGAGAGAGAGAGAGAGAGAGAGAGAGAGAGAGAGAGAGAGAGAGAGAGAGAGAGAGAAAGGGGGAGAGAGATAGCGAGACACAGAGAGGGAAGCAGTGAGGTTAGGGGCATCGGAGGGTGGTGAGCGCATCAACGTGTGGTTGGGGGTAGCAGCGAAGAACAAATTGCTATGTAATTTAGTCTGATAAGCGATTTTGCAGCATCAACAGAGCGAATTTGCAGTGTCAACAGAGCGATTTTGAAGCGTCAACAGAGGGAACACAAAGAGTTCATAGGTGCACAAGCACGCAGAGAAGAGTAAATGACGTGGTGTGTGGACAGGAAAAGTCAGACAGAGCATTCATTGCAAGGTGTAGGGGATGGAGGCAAGCTTATATTGCCGGGCAGCCTTGATCTCCCTTACACTCCTTGGAAGGGCGCGCGGTCCAGGCAAAGGCTGCCTGAAAGGCCAGGCGAGATCTGCCGGCTTCTGACTGTGCCGAGGGGACAGTGAGGCCCCTGGAAACGTGGTGCCGGGTGGTGCTACCAGCTGATCGTGAGAATAGGTATTGGAGGACAATGCTGGCTTTCCCATTGACACAGCGCCACACCAGGACGAGCCCAAGTACAGTGCTGCTCAATGAAATCCAGTCGTGTCACTCAAGTTTGTACCTTGCACCATTTTGCAGCCCAATGTTCGCAGGTCTAGGGCTGCGCAACGCCCAGCGCGTACTTGAGTGATGCTGTGACTGGATTTCATTGAGCACCACTGTACAAGTCATGCAGTTACATGAATGTTCAACGAGCCCCCCCCCCCCCCCCCCAATCTTCCTACGCCACTGTAATCAATGTGAACACTTACCGGAGGACGAGCCAAGTGTTGACTCATGATTTGCCGACATTGGCTTCGTTGGACGGTCAGTTTTCCTACTGGCAGCTGCATCGCGTCGCTTCGCCATGGTACTGGCGACATGTTCCGCTACATGAGGCTGGCTGTGCTGAACGAGACTCAGGAACGCATCGACCTGTTCGTCCGTTTTCTTCAGCATCAGCCTCACCACGTACTTTGTCAGATCAGACTTCACGTTTTCCTTGCTAGAGGCAGTATCATATTCATCAACGTCCAGCACATCATTCTCCAGCAAGAGTTCCAAGATCACGGATGCATCTAGATTGGAAAGTAAGAAGGCTATGTTATAGCGCACCCTGTCTGCCATTGTTAACACTCTAGCCTGTCCGCGTGGCCACAGTTCACTCGCACTGCGGACTGATCACGATTGACATCGAGTTACTGCATAACTTCTTTGGATCAAAAGAACTGTCTTTTCTCAAGCAATAACACGTACTTTCAAGTACAACTAATTACTTACTGAGCCGTTCATCAGTTGTGGCTCAGGTACAGAGCGAATTTCATGAAGGCAAACAACTCTTCCTAAATCACGCTTGAAATGTTCAGCATCAGCTCGATCGCCTGGGCTCTTCGCCGAGCTCGCGAGGCTATCAGTCACTGTATCAGTATCAGCACTAACTTCTAAGAGAATAGTAAAAAATAGTAAAAAAAATAGTCGGAAGGAGATGACAACGAGTTACGTCAACGCGGTCGATGCAGCCAGTACCATGAGTACTGCCAGTAGCCTTCGCATTTGGCCAGCGTTGGGATGAGTCATGGGAGTCGTAAAAGCCTTTTGCGTTGTGGCGCCAGTCTCCGACTCCGGTCATGGTTGCCATGGCGCATGTGTGCACGAAGAAAGCTTTGATCTGACATAGCTGATACTTCACTCTTTAGTGATAGGATTTTTTCGGTTCCTTGGCTGATGATTGCAGAGTAGATATCTACGAGCGCAATAAGTATTCCATTATGGAGTGAACTGAGATTAATGTTTTATGAATCGAGTAAACTGTTTGTCCTAGTATGGCAGTGATAATGGTCAAGATTGAAGAAAGCCAGACCGAGTTGTAAGAGAAAGCGTGTTGATCGCCATGAATGGCATGATTTTGATGACCGTAGACTGGACGACTGAGCAAACTGAACTGAACCGCGTGTTGGACATTATTTGAACATCCATTCAAACGTCAAATGGAAATTCAGTGCGTGGCTAGATGGTCAACAGATCTAAATCGTTGCCTAACGTAACGCGCATGTGTCTGGTTGCTCTACGGTATCCGTGCAGCTCCCTTCGGCACCTGTATCGTCCAAGAGTATGCGACAGTGGACTGGAAATTTCGGACAGGGGACGAGTGACCACTGCTAGCGAGCTTTGTGGCCAATGACGTGGCCATGGTTGCCAGCGATTATTACATTGAGTGAAAGCAGAAAGGATAGTCCAGGAGCAGAAGCCTCTTGAGGAGCTTGGCAGCGATGAAAAACACGTTCACAAGGTTCACCACGAGTAGACTGCACCGATCAGCATCCCTGGTCTGTACTGTCACCCGGTCGAGCATTTCCTCTCCAACATATCGCCCGTAATGGCTGGCCCAGTGCTACTCGACTCTCATGTATGCTGCTGCTGGTGCTGCTGCTGTGGGCCTGCATTTCGCTGGCCTCCGTGTTCGTCGCACACTGCGGCTTCCACCTGCCGTTCATGCCGTCCAACGAGTACCACGACTACCATCATGAAAAGTTAGTAGTGTAGTGTATGCATTCTGCATCGATTGGTAGCTGTACCAATACCTTGCACATACATGGGAGGCGGTGAACGCAAAAATCTGACTTTAGCCGCCCCCCTCCCCTACCGGACCCCAAAAAGGACATACTCCCTCCCCCCAAAAGAAAGTTCTGACTGCATGTATAAAGCCACGTGCTAACTTTATCGAAATTTGCACAGAGAAGAATACAGTCATCTCCAAAAAAATCCGTCCAATGCTATGCTAGCTACGGGTAGCTGTACGTGGCCACATGCACTGCCATTGCAAGTGCCACTGCTAGTGCTATGCGCTAGTAGTAGGCATGCTTTGTAAAAAAATTCATTGTTAATGATAACGACCTACTTCTTGTGTAGGGATGTCAATTGAATAATTATCCTATCCACAATGGGAATTAACCGACGTCTTGCATGACCGATCCTTTCAATGTTCTTATCTTTACATTTCCTTTTCCACCTGGACTCCTCCTTGGTAAGTTCCCTTTTCTCTCTAGCTCTTCTCTTGTACCTTCCTGCTATTATTCACTTAATGTGGCGCTTTCCATTTGCGCACTGGCACAGCTGTAGTACAGTGCAGGGGCGTAGCAGCCGCTCCGGCCAGTCCGGCTTTGGCCAGACCACTTTTTGGCACGACCACGACCACCATAGTAAAACAATGCCAAAAGTTACAAGAATGCAGGATTTTGCACCCTAATTTAAAAAAACCCCAGGGGAGATACCCCCAACCCCCCCCCCCCCCCCCTGGCCGGACCACTGCCAACGACGGTGCTATGCGCCTGCAGTAGTAGGAATGCACTAGTAGTAGTAGACTCTCTAGTAGTAGTAGTAGTAGTACTGCCTTGTGCACGGCACATGCTCTGCCGCCGGGACTGCACTCTGCAGTGCACAGTCTGTGTTGTGCTCGACTCGACTGCAGCAGGCAGAGTGCAGAGCCGCGGACTGTTCTACTTGTAGTTCAGTGCTATGCTGGTAGACCCTCTAATGACTGTAAATGCATGAATGCGATTGTGACAGGCACCATGTCACTGTACAAGTATCCATGGCATTGGCTGGATTTCTTTGACGACGACTGTATTACTCCCCCAGTCCCTGCCCCCAACAACAGAAAAAGAAATACTCCCTGTTTCCAGCAGTTCACTTGCATATCAGTGTCATGGTTGTTGTCTCTTCTGACCATGAATGTTCCTATATGTATTGTCTGATTCTGATCCAATGCACTACAATGCCCTCAGTTTGGTGAGTCTGCCATTCGATGATGCCGAGACCTCTGGTCAGTTGAGCATGGCAGACCTCACTAGCACCGTCTCACAGCTGACTCCATGCTAGCCCCATGTACTGCTGACTCCATGCTAGCCCCATGTACTGCTGACTCCATGCTAGCCCCATGTACTGCTGACTCCATGCTAGCCCCATGTACTGCTGACTCCATGCTAGCCCCATGTACTGCTGACTCCATGCTAGCCCCATGTACTGCTGACTCCATGCTAGCCCCATGTACTGCTGACTCCATGCTAGCCCCATTTGCCTGCCGGTGAGTTTGTGTACCTGGTATAATTATAAAAACTGACATTATTTTTTTGTTTATGTTGGCTGCTGCTATGCAGGTTCAACCAGAACTTTGGCATACTGGGAATCTTTGATTTGCTGCATGGCACGGACAGTGACTTCCGTAAATAAAAGTCGTACGAGCGCCATTCCATGCTACTTGGCACCACCCCAGGCAACGCTCTGATTCCAGACGAACCGAAGAAATGGCAGTAAAGAAGTTAAGTCTGCAGTGCATGTGCATGTGTGCATCCTCACTGCTGTTGCTAGTCTCCTCACAGTCCACCCTTGACCGTCCCATTCTCCAGTTTCAATGCTAGTCTCCTCCCAGTCCACCCTTGACCGTCCCATTCTCCAGTTTCAATGCTAGTATCATCACTACTCTACATGTATATGTATTTTAGCATATCCACCATCAATACTGGTCACATGACAAATTACACTTACCTACCCTCACTACTTCAAGTATGCCGCTGATATTATTATTTTTATTCACATAGCTATGGGTTTTTTTGTGGCAAATTCACTAGTGGCCTAGCTCAGCCCAATCTGTGTTCTATAATGGGTGGTTATCGACATCACACTGTTCAATCCACCAGACTTATCAGTGTCGACTCTCATAGCCAATGTTTTTTTTTGTGCCACATTCATTAGTGCCCTAGCTATGCCCAATCTATGTTCTATCTTCCAGTCTTATCAGTGACGGCTCTCATAGCCAATGTTCATTTTTCCAAGCCATCACCAAGAAGTTCTTTTTCTTTCTCAGCTAGGCCCGTTCAGAGATTCTTTTCCATTTCAAGTTCCGCCTGTTCCACCAGTCCTAGACGCAGGGAGAGGAACTGTATTTTCACTAGTTATAAGTTACAAGCAAAATATTGGCTATGACATCACTACTACTTACCGGCTGTATTGCTATGACATCACTACTACTTACCGGCTGTACTGCTATGACATCACTACTACTTACCTGCTGTACTGCTATGACATCACAACTACTTACCGGCTGTACTGCTATGACATCACTACTACTTACCGGCTGTACTGCTATGACATCACTACTACTTACCTGCTGTACTGCTATGACATCACAACTACTTACCGGCTATTATTAATTGTGTCACTATTCAAGGTACTTTATACTTGAACTACTACGCTTACTTCATACAAAGTGTTGCCGTATGAAGCCTGAAATCACATGCAGTCTAGGCGTGCCTGTACGACACCAGCATGCCGACACTGCAACTTGCTGTTGGCACCCCCCCCCCCCCCCCCGCGCCCGTTTTGAACACTGGGCCATTGCGCTCGTGGCAAATCTAAACTATCTGCTCATCCAAATCCAGAGAGTGTGTGGCTTGTTCAGGATCTGTACGCACTGGAAACTCTCGGCTAGTCTACCGTCTTTCTGACATTGCCACTTGAACTTGACAATAGAAGCAGCTTTTCTTATGTGCAGTTGCATTGAGCCATGGTGTTTTATCTTATTCTTGTGAATCCTTCCCGGAAGCAAATGCTGGTTTTTATACATTCGTGTAATTACTCAGCGCTATTTGCAATAATAATAATAATAAATCCAGAGGGCTCAGACCCCGCCCCCGCAGACGTTACATACTCTTGTGCCTGCCCATGAGCACGGCCAGTGATCTCTGGGTGCAGTATTGCCACAGAATCATGGTCCGTGACGTTTGCCACCTCCATTTATCTACACTTGAAGGAACTGCTGTCCCTCCAGGAATCCGTGATTCCACGGCCGCGGTAAAATCCGTGGAATTCCGCGGAATTCATGTTTTTTTTAATATCCCGCGGAATTCACAGTTTTCACCGCAGAATCGTGAAAAATCACGGTTTGGGGGCAATGCGAGCACGCGCTTCATATTCATGCCCATGCACAGTGCAGTGTCCTGTCGCTATTTTGTCGCATTCAAAGTCGAGGGAGTTTTCTTCGTTACTGTATTGAGCCTATCGTGTGTTTTGGACCACTATATAATTTTTTATTGATACTTGAACATAGCATATAGCCATATCTTTTCGCCGGTGCAGCGCCGCAGACATATCGCAGTATTGCCGCAGAATTCACGCTATCCGCCGCATCATGTAGCGATCTGTGCCGCAGAATTCTGCGCAGAATTTCAACTTTCTGCCTGCGGATTCCTGGAGGGACAGGTACTGTTGTGGGCTTTGAAATCCGTTGAGAAGTCAAGCGGCCACGTGGCGCTGACCTTGCAGCCGTGAGCACAGCTGGGCCATCTTTATGGTGTGTACGTTAACTACTGTGTGTGTACATAAACTACTGTGTGTGTACGCGTTAAAAGCAGTATAGGGTGCCGGTCCCGGTCATCCTATCTGATTTCAATGTTCACGACAGTACATTGTAGATCTGAACCATGATGAATTTGATCATTACAACACTGCTGCATATTACTGATGGTAAAATAATGCAAATACTGGCAGAGGTAGGATCCCGTTCATGAGTTTGGGATGAATGGGCACACTTTAGTTTGGCATGCTGTCCCGCTGAGTATGTATATACACACATAACAAACACACACACACACGTGCATGCACATCCATGTGCACCTCCCCCCCCCCCACCACACACACATTCACGTGCACAAACACACACACACACACACACACACACACACACACACAAACACGTGCGTGCGCGCGTGCTCGTACGTACACACAAACACATTGGGTTTTGGACACATTGCCATGTTCAGGCAGGATATGTCCTGTGGGCTACTGGAAAGCTGGCCACAATGGGAAACAATGTGGAAGGAGCTGCGGTCTGTGCTTGCTCGGGTCGAACCATGGCTACATTTGTGATGCTTCATGCTTTGACGTGATAGCACACAGGGGCTGCAACGGGCATTTCTACATTTGTCACACGAATGCTAGCAGTGCTGCTAGATTTCAATACTGGAGTAAAATACGATTTGTATCTCAAGGATAGTAGCATGAACCTGTATGTACAGGGTATGGCTGACACTGCTATGGCAATATACATTGCAGTATAAACATGTGTAGAGTAGAGTTTTGCAGGTTTAACTGACATAGCGGTAACTATTCTGTACAGTGACTAGTGTAAAAACAGTAGGTGAGAGTAGACATGAACACATTCAGTAAAACTGATACCACAGTAGACTGGACTAGACAGTACATGTAGTTCAGTTGATCAGTATATCTACATAGTAACACAACACTGTGTGTGTCATAGACAATCTGTATACATCATGTCTATACAAGTGATGTCACAGTGTTGTGATCAATGACAGGTAGTGTGCTGTTGGAGTATCTCTTACTGCAGTAGCTGCTGGAAATCAGTGATCCCTGTCCAGTGCTGTCACTTTCACCAATCTCAACTGCTAAACACTATCCAGTAGAGATCCTCAGAAGCTCAGCTAGCCCTGTAGAATGTACAACGGCGAGAGTGCACATACACGCACACACACACACACGCGCCCAAACACACACCACCACACCCGCACACATACCAAACAACACACACAGGCAGAATCAACCATTTACTTGAAGCTCTGGATATAGAATGCGTCTTATGGATTGCATGCGTTGGTGATATAATTAAGAATGAAGTCATTGTTATAATAATCATGACTCATAATGACATCATGACTGGAAACTACAGGCAGTGTTTGCACACAATCTAAATAACCGATCAAGCTGTAAAAGAGGTGACAGTATAACAGGATACGTTGCACACATACTATAGAAGCGACATTCCCTCACCCATGCTGCCATTTGTTTTCCCCATGTACACCCCCCCCCCCCCCACACACACACATACCCACCCCTTGTCCATTCACACACGCACGCACGCACCCACACCCACACCCACACACTCCGGGTCGCTAATCCTATACACAATCATGCAGTTCATGTGTTTTTCATTGAGCGAGACGAAGACGAGAAGAGGCATGAGTGTTTGTGACGGGATAAGTGACTTTGCCTTTAGAATCGACTCTGGCAATTTCGACATTTTTATTGGAACTTGTCTGTTTCACTAGTCACAGGTTGACACGGTGCAAGACCAATTTGAGTGGCAGCAGGGTATGTTGAGTGAAAACGACAAGCTCACAAACTGGCCAGAGAGATAGGCAGTGAGGTGAGCAAGTGTGCATTCGCTCGACAAAAAGATGTTTGCCAACATAAGTGCCCATACATGCAGCCACACACACACACACACACACACACACACACACACACACACACACACACACACACACACACACACACGCACGGGTGCACGTGCTCTCAAACACATACACACTGTGAAAGACTCCCGCCTGTTCTATAAACCTATCGTTACAATGTCACATTGGCCCTAGAAGGGGTCATACAGAGGGACAGTAGAAATATACCGTGTGGGATCCTACAGAAAATCAAAGGTCTTGTGCGAGTACCCCTCCCCCCCCCCCCCCCCTCCCCTCCCCCTCCCTCTACTGTTGATCCTGCCATGGACTCATCGGTAGTCCACTCGTAATACCCCCCCCCCCCCTCCCTCCCACACACATACACATACACATACACACACACACACACACACACACACACACACACACACACACACACACATATACAAACACACAAACGCACACACATCCACACATACACTCACAAACAAACACACGCACGCACAGTCTTCAGTCTGTCTCACTGAGCCGATGTTACCGTGTAATACGAATGGGCAATACATCGAGGTAGTGCGAAAATATGGCGTGATAATATTACGGATGATCAAAAGTTTGCTTCACATACCTCCTCTCCAATCTCCCCCCCCCCCCCATACACACATCAGCACGCCCCCCCCCCCCCCCACACACACATACCCGCACCCCACCCCCTCCCCCCCCCCCCCTCCCTGCTGGTCCTGCGATGGACTCTCGGTAGTTCACTCGTAATACTGATGAACTACCAGACAAGTACAGACCCCATGCACATGCACATACACACACATGCACACACATACACACACATACACACACACACACACACCCAACACCCACACACACACACACACACACACACATGCACACACATACACACCCATACACTCAACACACACACACACACACACACACACACACACACACACACACACCAGCACCCCCCCCCCACACACACACACACCTCTATCCCCGCCCCCTCGACCCCCCCCCCCCCCCACACACACACACACCGGCACTGCCCCCCCCCCCACACACACACACACCTGCCCCCCCCCCCACCCCACCCAGAAACGTTTACACGCAGACTGAGCCGTAATTTTCTCACGATACCAAGGCACTAACAAACCAGTTCATCACACAGCACTCACAATCTGTCATGTCAGTTGATGATAACACTCTAACTTACTGTAGTATGCGATGTCTGAGTGCTGCCAGCATAGCACAGTGTTGGTTGTGTTCACTTCGGCGTTCATCAGTTTGACGATGTTTGCCACACAGGTAAGCCACGCCACAACGAGGACATGCTGTGATGTTGTCCAGGTCATAGCAGACAAAGCATGCTGCTTTACGTGGACACCATTCCAGTAGTGCAATGTGGTGATCAATGGTCACTAGGCCTCTCTTGGATTGACGATGTAGGGCAGCAATGAGAGAGTAGTATAGTAGAGTACGGTCTCCAGCTGTTGGTGGTAAGTACACAATTCCAGACACTGACAGACCAGTTGCACACTTGCTTGGCAAGCAAGCACTGAGATCATTAACTAATGACTTCAACGCTGGGAAGAGTTTGGAACTAACATTAGTTGCGAAGAGAGTATTCTAGAGCAAAGCACACAACAAAGAACAGTGTAGAAAAGAAAGTAACTGAGGCCAGTACACTCGAAACAGAGAACATCATGCACAATAATAACAAATCAGACTGATATAGCGGAAAGCAACACATTCCATTTCCATAGTTTACAATGTTCAAAATTATCACATTCTCCTCTGTGTTCTTCAAGAAATCTACCTTAGAGAGACACACACTATACAGTAGATAATTACTGAGTACACTGGTTTGCAATACAATGTTCCATTCAGAGTGGAGTGTGGTTGAAAAACAGTTATGGTATCCTGAATTGTGTACAGTGCCACTACCAGCTTACCTCCGCATCGAGCAGTGTTCTAGCTGTCAGTATACAAGACTGCACCACTTCCAGATTAGGTTCCTTGTTCTGGCTACAGTTGTTAATCAGTGCTGTTGTGTGATCTGCTGGATTAGAGCCATTCCACCATCTC